AATACATTTCAAAGATATTCACCACGATTTATTGTAAAGATATAAGGTATTCAAGGCATAATTTTCTACCATTATGTTAGTTGTGAAAAATTATGTTAACGAGGATTTCAAACGCTTTTGAAATCCTAAAACAGGGGGATGTTTCTTTGGCCCGAAAGGCCCCGTACTTCGTTCTCAAGCTCGGGCGCGCTTTAGCATGTATGGCCGGTTTGAGCTCTTCTTTCGTTACGCAGCTGTTGTAACGGAGACGCATATATAAGAAAGCTACAGCTCTATTGTTGGATCGACCGGAAATTGAGACCGGGATCGCACCACGGAAAGCTATATAGCACGCTGGCCGTGAGCCACCTGAAGGGCAGATTTATTTAGATTTATTTAGTCAAAAAACAGTAAAAACTATATGTGGCTTAGGGGGAGAAGATTACCTGCGCACGTTTTCTTGAGTTCCAGAATCCCTTCCCGTCATTTTAACTATAAATAGTTGAGTAAACGTTTAACATAAATAAATAAAAATAAATTTTTAAAATCGCAAGATTAGCATTATTTGAAAAATAGTCATTTTAGTTTCAGAGTTATAGAAAACGTATTTGCATTGATACACGAATTGCAAGTATGATGTTTCTGCATTGCTAACAAAATAGCAACTCGCCCTTACCTCTACTCTTACCATTACAAGCAAAAGGAGAGTCACCACAACTTGCGCATAGTGAAGTTACATTTACGACATTTCAAACAGTACTGAACTTAAATGAAGTCGTAGGCTTCCGCGACCAGAGTCATGTGGGTGATCTGGGCTGTCCGAAGCTGAAGTATCATAGGCGAGGAAGAGTGAGTATGTGTGGGAAGGGGAAGGGTAACGAAATTTGGGTGGAGACACTGTTCCTAGGATTTTGTTCGGTGTAGGTCGCCCATTGTAACTAACCGAGGAATATTGATTTTTTCATCTCATTTCATAAATTATTGTTTTGTTTCCTGCCAATTGTTTGATCATAATTACATCTTCATGACATAGTTGCAGGGGGTGTCACTTAATAGGTGGTAAAATGTCCATATTTGAAAGTAGTGATGGTGGGGAGGGATATATACTATCTGTATAGGTGATAAAAACTCATTGTTACTGGGTAATTTTTTTGCAATTTTTAGGCAATGGTTGTTCCATTCGCACCATTTTTGTCATTTTTACGTATTTTTTACCCTTTCGAGTTTTTTGTTAGTAAATGTTTCATTAATTTACAATGACTCACTAAAACAAAGTTTTTATTGTTTCAGTTCATGACGAAATTTACTACTGCAATGGACCCTGATTTTCAAACTAAAAATTACACGGATCTTCGGAAACTTCCTGGACCTTTCAAACCGGCGATTGGAAGATGGGAGCTAAGGAATACATTTCCTCCTAAAATGAATACTTTATATCAAACATAATTTTATATAAATACATTTGATTTAAAATTGTGAAATTAATTGAATAAATAAGCACTTTGATTCAAATTTTTGAATATTTTGTTTTTTAAATGAGGTTATTTTCCTCTTATTTTTAAGCCTTTTTATAGGTCTTTTTCAAACATTGTTTAGGTCATCAGATTCGAGCCCTGCTTATGAAACAAATTTACTCGTCTTCAGAAACTCGACATTTTTGATCTCTTCCAGAAAACAGCAAGGCACGCAACCTATTGCCATGACAATCGGAGTAAACAATGTCGTTAAAATAAGAAATTCTTTATGGAATATGTATAAAAATGTATTTATTTAGCGTAAAAGTGATTGTTTTATTGAAGCATTTTTAGTTTTTTAAATGAATGTACTTTAAATCATTAACATTGAAAAAAATATGAGTTATCAAAAGTAGTCAGTGACGAAATTGTGTTCAAATTGTTCTACACTGTTGTTTTACTGTGCATTATTTATTATTCGATGAGCAAATCTAAAGCTTTTGCTACCCCGACTGATTGCTTCATAAATGTATTTGGCTAATCGTCTAATTTATTCGAAGATACGAAGTTGGTATTCACGTGATATATTACAGGCTTATTTTCGGTAGGCTTTTAACAGGCTGGAAACTTCTTAACTACTATATTATTAAACTTTTAATTTGACTTCACAATGAAAGGTTATTCGCAATATTTTGTGATCAGAGTAACTAATCCCTCATCCCTTTTTACTATAAACATCAGTTTTACTAAAAAAAATACTTCGCGCCTTTGCGTTTGCATCTCTAAAAGAGTTCCAGATGTATTTAATATTGGACATGTATCAGCTTGTAAGGTAACTCCCATTATTAATTTTCTGTAAATTCATTAATCACATAAGAAAATACATAATAAGAATGACGTTTAACTTAGGAAAAACAAAGATACTAAGATATGAAGAATGATTACTTACCATTTCCAACAATAATATAGAATATTAATTTTTTGGGGAAAAATTGTGTGGATACAGCAGCAGCAATTATATATTCTATCGAATAACCATCGGATACTTATAATTCATTTGTTATCTATCGACTCAATATAGGCATATCCATGAACTCAATTACGACAGATATTCCTTAAATGACCTGAATGTGAACTACATTCTCGCCGAAACACTTCTATATCAGCAAGTGATTCACATAACATCAGTTGACGAAATTAATGAAATTATATAATAAAAAGATGCCCAAAAGTACCAAAATTCACAACGTTTTTTGTGGAAGCCCGAGACCAGTACTTACGTTAAAGAACTAGCATATAGCAAATCAATTTCTTATTAAATACTTTCAATGAAGAATATTAAAAAAGCATTAATAAAATACAGCTTCCATGAGTTATTCTGTAACTTCAGGTAACATCTCGGCGCAAGTTTATTTGAGCTCCCATTTAGCTAGGTTTGAGAAGAGTCGATGTTAAGTACAAGCACTTAGTATTCTCAAACCAAATCTGTGGTTCGCACACCGAAGCAAAGTTTCCATTGCATGTGACCGAACAGTTTGTTAATATTAAATATTACGAACAACGCTCGTTGCTATTTTTGCACCACACATTCGGCATTCGTCGAGCAGCGAGCAACTGCTCGCCCGAACCCAAACAGCTAAAGTGTTGAGCAAATGTTCGCTTCCTTGATGTGTCCAAAAGATCGACTCGCGGTAGGTAGGGCGAGCACCGTTAGTCATTCGGCAAATAACAAGCAATGAATGCGCTAATTATTTTAAATTTAAAAAAAAAGCAGGGCCCCAATTAAGTAGGGACCTTGAGCAAGCTGCTCTAGATGACACCCCTCCCCTTCTGGACGCCCGTGCTCAATAATGTATGGTAAACATGAGGAAACACAACTTCATTCCAGTCGTGGGGCAGTAGATCCTCGGGGGGACCCTTATTTCAACCCCTCCCCAACACATAAACAGAATTCGTATTTCTATGCAGCAGAAACAGCGTTTAATTTGTATTAGAAGTAAGAACATTTTTTTGTTTTCAATAAAATAATTCGGGGCTCCAATAAGTCGGAGATTAAGGCAGGTTCCCCCAGATGCATTCCCTCCTCCCACGATTAAAGTGAGAGAGTATGGATTAGGGTTGCGTAAACTTCCGTGGTCAGGTTTGTATTGTCTAGGTCCGACTTAAAAGGGCCATTTATCAAATTCTAGTTAAGATGCGGACCGCACCGTAATTTAAGATGTTTTTATCCTAACTACCGAGATTATTCCGAAACATTGCATTACTGAATCCATATTAGATACGACTTTTATTTAACATACTTAATGATTAATGTACACACAACGAGAAAATGAATACATCATAAAATAAAAATAAAATGAATTGTGCAATTGTTCAGTGAGAATATTGAGGGGGCACAGCTACATTCACCAAGGAATTTATGCCCACTTTCAGTTCCGTTGTAGCCAGTCTCTTAAAGTGGTTAGAGCGAGATAAGAGTTATCTTTAACATGCCTTTTTTATTGTATTAATCGAAAGATGGGAGGTTCTTCTATGTTCTGCTAAAGTTTGAATCAATTTTACCGTCTGGTTTTCGCGTAAGGAGACTGTAAAGTTTGCTGTTTTAACATGGGCTTTTATGGTGACCTGCCAGATCTGACATGAAATTTTAAAATTGTGATAAAATTAATTGTTAAACATGTTTTTAAAAACTCTTCTTTTGGTAGCTAGCATCTTGAATTATTTCACATTTTTAATTACTATTATGTAATTATAAAAATGCATAACAGAATAACTAAAAAACGTATTTGGTTGGTAAAATAATTTTTTACAAAGCAGTCGCGAGCCACACAAAAAGATCCGGCGGGCCGCATGCAACCCACGTCAGTCACCAGAACAGAGACACTGCTCGTCCTTAATGGCCAAGACAAAGGAGATTAGGGATTCCAGGTTTCAACAAAATCTGCGCAGAATTTGCCAAGCGAAAGATCTACCTATGCCCGTAAACCCTTTCCTAAAGACGGCCGCTTCCTCATACCACCACAGAAATTGAATCAACCACAAATCCCAATTATCTAAATAGTAAATACTACTTCATCTCCATCCCGTGATGGATGACACCCGCACGAATCTACAAAATCACCTCTTCTAAATGATCATTGTTCAAACCGCAATGCAGGTTTCTGTAGAATTATTCAACGAAGCATATATGAATTATTTTCATTAAAATTGCTGATTTTTTATTTTATTTTATTTTCACTCATAACTTAAATATATCTACACACGGCACAGCGACTGGTAGATTTATTTTTTTCTTTTCTTTACATGTGATGTATCATACAACAAGGAGCCCGCACAATATTTATACATTCTGAATCAAGAATAAAAAGCATACGCATCACAAATGCAATAAATGCCTTTTGTTTTAAGGCCATTTAAATTTAGCGCGGAACACGTTGTCCGCGCCCATGAATGTTCCGGTCATTTGAGCAGCTGACGAATATTTCTTGATCTAAAATTTTGCTTTCTCAACAAATCTCAAGTATCTTAAAATTTATAATTGTATTTATTATTGTCAATATATAAACAATTATTACAAACAATAGAAAAACTAATTTTCGCAAGTTACTCCGTTGAGCTTACAGTCCTAAGACTCTTCCTTTCATGGATCCAGTTCCGGTGAATGTGTAGCTTGCAAGATGGTAAGTGTGGACACATGTGGTTGAATTCATGTTATTATGAGGATTCAAATGTGATTTCCGCCTGTAAATTACTTTAGTTATTAAGTGTTCACGTTTGGCTTGTATTTAGTCAGCTAAGTGTTTGAGTTTTTTCAAGTACCCCCATATTTTCATTTCCAAAAGAACCCACGTTGTTACCGGACGAGGCATGGTGTGTGTCGTGTGTTCTAGGAAGCTTGGTTTAGATTGACAATTTGATATTAAAATATTTATTTAAATATCAGAATGGTTGTGATTGTATAGTGGAATGTTACAGCGGGGCTTACTTTTAATCAACCTTTTGTATTTATTTCCAGACTTGTAAGCGGAGAAATAGTGGACGTTCCAAACATGGCCGTGGTCATGTTAAACCTGTGCGCTGCACTAATTGCGCACGGTGTGTGCCTAAGGATAAAGCCATCAAGAAGTTCGTAATCAGGAACATTGTCGAAGCTGCGGCCGTTCGTGATATTACTGAAGCTAGCGTATATTCAAGTGAGTACAGGAAATTTACAATGTTTCATAATTTATTAAAAATGCTTCAGGAATGATAATGTTTGTGTTTTTTTAGCTTACATGTTGCCAAAATTGTACGCGAAGCTGCATTACTGCGTGTCCTGTGCCATCCACTCGAAGGTTGTACGTAACAGGTCAAAGGCTGCCAGGCGTAACCGTATTCCTCCGCAGCGCACATTCCCAAGGGTAAGCTTCCCAAGTTATGGTCATTTTAAATTGTAATGTTTTCATCTTTCTTATATGGTATGGTATTTTCCTGAATATCAGTTGGATATGTATGATGACGTAGGAGTGTTAGAGAAGTGGGTTAAGTTATTCATGAGCTTTTGAATATTTTACTTTATTTATACGGTGGTGTTGCATATCATTTTATAGCTTATAAACAAGATTGTAGCTCACCTTTGTTGCTACAATGGCATTACACAAAAGCCTCAATTTTCTAGTTCATGTAGCGATTTGAAACGTGCAATGTAGTGATTCAATTCTCAAATGATATTCTAAACGTGCATTGATTTTTCCTTGAAAAGGGTTCCCCAAACCCAATTTCTCCTTGCTGTATATATCTGCTGAGTTTGCAGTATGTACATGTAACGAGTGAGTGATACAACTACAAATCATATGAAGAAATGAAAATATGTAAAGAACGAGTGACCACTGTCTGGAAAAATAGGATAAATCAGAATACATAGAATCATTAGGAGTCTGAACGTTGTTAGGCTTATCTAACTTCGTTCCATTCCTTAAGAAAATTGTACGGTTATTTAATATATTTTAAAAGTAGTTTGAAAAACTCGCCTAATCTTGAGGGTGGGACTGAGCGTTCAGAAAGGCTGAATAAACTATTTTCAAAATTTATCTCCCTAGTTATATAGGTTTGGTAGATTTGAGTTACTTTCGCACAATTCATTATATGGATGACCTAGCTTGAAAATACTTCTATGTATTGTAGGTGTATTTGTAGAAAAGTGTAATTAAATTTGTAATGGTGGTTATGAAGATTTTCAATGGAAATGCTTTTTTCTATTTCAGGACATGATGCGGCAGGGTGGTCAACAGCAAAGGAAGTAAAAATATTGTATTTCGATTTTGAATTGCATATTAATAAAACAATGGTAAAATGATATCTCGTTTTTAATTAACTTTTCCAACTCTGACGTAAGGAGATCACAGGCCAATGTGATTATCAACTGAACAAATTTGAAGTATTGCACGAGTCCTTGAAGATTGCTTTAAATTGCACAGTCAAAGTGTGGGCTGCTAGAAAGAATGCGCTCAAAACTTAGTTTTCATTAGCTTTGGGGAGTGTTGCTTTTGTTTGTCTAATTGTTTTTCTAAGAATTTTAAAAAGTTTTAGGATGGATCCTACATCTTTGCCTTATGATTCAAATACATAATGTATTGAACTGAACCAAAGCAGAACTGAACCCAGAGAAAGGCTTCGTTAACGTTAGTTCATGTTAGTCCTGGTTTTGAATATTTTCTCATTCATGTACTTGGCAGTAAGCAGTATATGAGTGGCCTGATAACTAGAGCTAGGATTTTGATGACATAAAAACTACGTAAAAATCTTTCAATAATTCATTTTACGGCATTTTAAATGATTTTAACTTTGATCTACTACTTTCTTTGGTTAAGCTAATGATTAGTCATAAAATATTTGGAATAAATTGAATACTAAAACTTAGACTATTAACAAAGTTAATGTTATTTATTATAGTGAATCAATATTATGTTAATATTGATTCAATACTATATATACACAATACTATAATATTGTAACACTTTATTATTTACTTACAATTTACATTCATAATAAAAACCCTTGAAGTTGAGTTGCAATGTGGCACAGACAATTCTTAGATTTTCAAATGACTGATGATTTTTAGACTAGTAAGTGCTAAATATTGAAAAAGTAAAAAATGATTAAATATTGACCTCAAAAATGTCCTAACAAATACATATCAAATATCTCAACTGATGTCACTATGGTGACATTTAAGGTTCCGATTGGATGAAACTCAACAGCTGGTACCGCCAGGGGCAGGGTTGTGATAATCTCAGTATAGGCATGTATTCTATCCGTTTCAGTAGACATGATGGGTTTTAGTTCTCAAAAGTATTTTTTTGTGGTCTACCCACTTCTCTTTGCCCTATCAATTGATAATTCAATGTTGTTTTTGGAAATCATTCTCTCTTACTTCTGTTCAAAAGAGATAATCGCTTTTTCTACTATTATGCTTTTTACATATATAATTAAAAAGAGTGCTTTTCAACTAGGTCGTACAGCAATCTCGGTTTACCATTGGTTTTTAACTTTGGGGTAATAGGTGAGCTTGCATATTGTTTACAGGACACATACAAAACATTCATGGGGATTCGAACCTGCGACACTTCAAGCATGAGACAGCTATGGTCCTTCAGCCTTAGCGACCTCAGCGATACAGATCTGCTTCTACATTCTTTATTTTAAGACTTTCTTAGATTTACTTTGCTGAACCTATTGCCTGACTTCTCTGGAATGATAGATCTGAAGTCTTGTATGCATTGTCACACTTCTCATTTCTTCTTTTCCTTGATATGCCATTGATTTTGTCTTGCTAGTTGGTATTTTCATGTTATGTTTCATCGCTGTTTAATACAATTCATTTGCTGCAATTTGAAGGTCATCTGATCCCATTGTTATATCATATGTGTAAAGGATTATTTGGATCTTCTGTTTTTACTGAAATCTGGTCCCCTCTTGATTGTTAGTTTCCATTCCTTGATGATATGATCGGTATACATAATGAAAAGTTATCGTGTCACTGCATTCCTGTCTTAGTTCTTTGCTTGTGATTTTGACACATTTCCTTATTCATTTTTACACTTGTCTGAGATTCTGCAAAGTTATTTTTAATTTATTTTCTTATTTCTGTAGTTATTTTTTCTTTCCAGTATTTCCATCATTAATTCTCTATTTGCTCTTATCGTGTGTTTTCAAAGTCTACGAACAGTAGTGAAGTTGGCAAATTTACTTTATTGTTATGTGGTGAATATGGTGTGTTCCTTCCTTTTCCTCTCCCAGAAAACATTGAGATTTCTTATGTAGTAATCAGAGACTGATGAATATGAATTTATTAAAGGCTGATTTTATTATTTAAGGCACTAACTCGTCAGTTTGCTATACAATTTCTACAAAGGGGGCTCGGATAAAAGTTTTGCAGGTAGGCCCACACTCATTTCATTGGGCTACTGGTCAGGACAGCCAGTGAGCCTACAGTGATGATTGATATTGTCATAAAAGGTGGAAAAAGCATTGAAAATAGAATGTAAGAAGGAACTTACATTTTGATCCTACCAAGAATATTTTTAGAACTTCACTACAGTAAATATCCTCAAGATATTCATACACATTAGGGAACAAGCCAAATATATATATGCAATTCAGGGCATTTAGGAAATTTCCTTTGCAACATCTCATTTCATAAAAAAAAAAAACTTTCAAAAGGGATAAATCCCTTCGATATGACATAGAATACATGAAACAATAAGCAGATACCAATATTGTGAAAAGATCCCAGTTCATGTTGCGGTTGTGAAAGAAGGAAAAAAATATTTAATCGATAATGGTAGTACAGTATAGGTAGTAACCTTTGACACTTTCTCGCTAAATATGAATTTCATGAACAAAACTGGTCCTGACAAGGAAACAGAACTACAAATTTATATTATAATTGCCAAACATTAATTTTTTCCTTTAAATACATGTTAAATAGAGTGTACTGTAATGTGTCCACTTAAATACACTGAACCTTCATAAAAAAAACGATTTGATTTATTTAGTCAAGAAACAGTAAACACTATGTGATGTATGGGGAAGAAGTTCCATGTGCACATGTTTTCTTGAGTTCCAAAATCTCTTGCCTACATTTTAACTGTAATTAATTAAATTATGAATAAAAATTTAAATTCTACATTTTAGTTTCTGAGTAGTAGAAAACGTATCAGTTGCATATTTTAATACACTTGTGATTTGTTTGAAAATAAAATATGACATATACACAGAATTATGTATTTTTTTCAGATTCTAATTTGCAACTATTATATTTGATTCTGTCAGCATTGTCAATATGTGAATACAAGATATCATGCCAAATATCACCGTTCTACTAAGAAAACTACTCATGATAAATGCCAAAAAATAGGGATCACTTTAAAAGAAATTTTACTTCTTTATATCATGCAGTCAATTGTTTTTAATTTTATTTACATTTTTGTAGTGTTATCATTTCTTCACATAATATTTTTGAGTATACATTTTGTTAACTGACATTATATTTTAGAACTTCATTTAAATACCATACATATTACTTTGGTAAGTTGTCTGAGAAACAAATCCGAAGTCTAGAAAATCTGGACGTCTGGGAATTTTGTATTGCAGAAACACTGACAACCCAGTGAGTTTACTGAGATAATTAATAAACAATTTGAAATGAAAAAACAGCTGAGAAAAATGTTAGTTATTATATGTATGCAGTGATTTTCTCTTAATCATGCATCTAGGCATAAATGTTGCCTCAAAATAAGAAAGGAAAAAAGACAAATGAACAATAGTCAATAGTTATAAATTTTATGTCAGAACTATATGTACAATTCATTGATTTGAACATGTTTCATTGGGAGGGCCCAGAAGTTCGCAAGATGCCTATTTATTATAGTAAAAATTTTATGACTTTTAACAGTAACAATCACTTAATTATACTTATGGGGTTGTTTTAGTAGATTTTCATTTTGCCTTTTTTGTGTATTTTAGCTTCTCATGCCCATTTTTGCCATTTTGCCTGTTTCATTATTGTTTTGCTTTGTTTCTCCCGACACTGATCTTGATCAACTTGGAGTACTATCATATTTTGTCTTTCTGTGGAAGAGGAGACTCAAAGACCAGGCAATGATAAAAATCTGAATGAACGAGGGAGCTGATGCCAGTCAAGAGTTTTTATTTTTTTTTTTTATAGATGTCAACAGGATTTGTTCGCACTTACGGTATCCCATCCTACCCTTTGAGTATGGTCTCCAATACCTTCTGAGGCCAGAGCTCTCTGTGTATGATATATCTTTCTCAGTGCTGGCAATTACACAAGTGCCAAGAACGAAAAATATAATTTCGTTTTCACTAATGGCATTTCAAGATCCAAAAGGAAGCCCACAATAGCATTTCCAAGAACCAGTGTAGTGAATAAAACAAATTCATAGTCATACTGGGTGGTCATGGGGAATCTAGATAAGAAAGTAAATATTGTCTTCTTTCATGCAAGAGCTAATGCAAATTTTAGAATTAGAATAAAAATATGAATCATTTTAATTTTTTTTTAAAATTCCCTTTAGATATGATTTTTTATTCTTTTTATTGTTGTATTGCACCCTGAATTTGGCCACAATAACTGCCTTTTTGCCTCTCTATTCATGGTTAAATAAATTCCTGGACTTCCGAGCTCTATTCATCAGCATAATTTATAGGTGTATCAGTATACAAAACTATGAGAAATATTTAAAATACCCAATGAAAGTTGCTTGCATTAATAAGTCTGAACTACATTCAGATACTGCGCTAATGTTAAGCACATATATTTATAGGAAAACAACTGGGTAAAAAAAACACTCCTAGTAGTCTGGTCCTTTGAATCCATTATTCCTTTAGATGTGCTTGAGGCATTCCTTCCTCTACCATTGTTTCCTTGGCATGCCTGCTTCTAGACAATAGCTTCACTGGCTGATTGCCTACCCGATGAGACCATAAGCTCCAAATTCTTCCCTAAGAGCACATTTTTTTACTACCCTTCACTGCTATCATCTATCCAGGTGTGAACTACAATACTAAGGATGGACTGGCATAAGTTAAGTTTGGAAATTCCTCAGATGTGGAGGAATTAATTCACCAATACAGTGCTTCAGTGAAGGCAAACCAAAGTGACCACATTGTATGAAGGACCAGCAAGGATTCTCAAATCCTGGGATCAGTTTCACCTTCTATTCAGCTCTTCAGATTTGAACAAACTGCATGACTGACATTTTTGCACTTCATGTGTTTTAGCGTTGCTATTGAGTTGCCTGACTCTCTCTTTCCTCTAAGTCTATATTTCAGGATCTGTTTTTGGAATGTATCTGGTTTATTCTTCTTTCTGCCCTTGCCACTTCCTTAAGTATCTATTTCATTAAATATGCTTTCAATTTTCAG